TGGGTGTGGGTGGGTGTGGGTGGGTGCGGGTAGGTGTAGGTAGGTGTGTGTGTGTTTTTTTTTGTGTGTGTGTGTGTGTGGGGTGTGTGTGTGTGTGTGGGTGCGTGCGTGCGGGTGCGTGCGTGCGTGCGTGCGTGCGCGTGCGTGCATGTTGTTGGTTGGGGGATGGTGGGTGCATGAGTGGGCGAGTGCGTGGGCGGGTGCGAGCATGTGTGCCAGCCAGCCATGGGAGCCATGGGTGCTGGACTGAACTCGCTTGAAGCCTAGCGCTGTTTAATTACTACTCTTCCGTTTTCCATTCTCTAACTTCCCTGGTGTCGAAGGATGTCCTGGAAACTACTGTTGTCAGTCTTCAGACTGTCGTACGTATCACAGCATGCCGCGAGAAACATCAGAGTGCCTATCTTCACAGGTCTCAACACATTGGTCATAGAGCAAGCGCGCGGCCCTGCTGCCGCTTGGAGACTCCTGGGCTTCCGGCTCCTCCCCGAGATCCTGCAAAGGTTCTTAGAATCTTGGAGAAAAAAGAATCATTTCATTCACGTTTGGGCAGAAGTGTTCCTTCCACTTGAACAGTTGCGCAAGCCCTTTAACCAGTTGAGCCATGGCATGCAAGCCAGACATCAAGCCAATCAAGAGTTCGTATGTTGTTCGATTGCGGTCGGGGTGGGAATCGACAACTGGTTAAGTGTAAGCCTCCCCAGGTTGCTTGATTCAGGTGCAGATCACAAGGCTGTTGCCAGGTTGTGGGAGCGCGCCAATTTGGCATGTTGGTTGATGCCGAACACTTTTGGGCTTTCTCGGTGCGGGTGTCAGGGACCGAACGCCCCTCCCTTCATCTCCCTATCAAACATGTGGATCTCGCGTTTGTGTTTGCAAGGAGCTAAAGGAGAAGAGATGCATTGCCCTGGCGCAGCTGTGAATGCCTTTCTTGAGGTCAAAGGGGCTCAATCGCTCTTAACTTACCGGCCGGCTTGATAGTAGTCTGAACCGCGTAAGAGGTCGACAGCTTGTTCTCCGTACGAAAGCAAACATGTAAGTGCCACGAGTGTGAGTCCAGAGCAGGACCGTGATCTTGCACACTGATGCTGATGCAGTATAAGCAATTTGCAAATCGCCACAGCACCAGAAGAAACGTGGCAAAACCCAGAACGCTTATAATCCCAAGCTAAAACACAGCACATTTCCCGCCGTGGCTTGGACACGGCGATTTTTTCCAGTGCCCTTGAGATCGAAGATGAAGGCCCACGTGCCACGAAGGCCTTTGTAGCTTGGCTTTGGGTTTCTTGGAGCCTGCGCTGTTGCTCTCCGATCCCGTACCTTTATCAGACGTCTATTTCGTCTCATGCACCACATAGTAAAGACTTGCACTGTAGATCGTTCAAGGTGCTGTATCGAAGGTTCTGCTGCACCACATAATAGCCTTGGTGTGGGCCGGCCGTACCACAGAAGGGAATCCGAGGGCAACAGGACTTGAATTGGCTGAAGACGGTTTCTCGCCCAACTCAACCCATGAGTCTCTGCAGTTTATGCAGCTAGTCAGTCAAGCAGAACAATCCCACGCTTTTTCCAAATCAGGGGAGAAAGACTGAAGAATCCATAAAATACATGTGCTGCCAACCTTGCTGCTCCAACCACGATTCGAAGCTAGAAATGTCTGGAAACGAAGCCACGACACGTTGCGAACTTCCATGTCCAGGAATCTTACCACGACACCGTAACAACAACGCGGATTCGGTTGAAGCTCAGGGTAGCCGTCGGAATTAGTGCATCGTCTTAACCTTTTCTGGAATTTGCAGAACAGGCAAGTCAATCTAACACCTAGAGAAGTTAAGATGCAAAAACACTGGAAGGCAATGCAAGAAACTTCAGAGCCGCTGCCAGTCGCAGAAGCAACTCGACGCAGGTGAAAGGGAGCTCGAGGCTCTGAGAGGGAAAGACAGGAGAAGAACAAAGGATAAGACGGACTCGTGACTAGAAGTTCGAGAGCAGGCAGAAACAATCAATGTGCAGTTTCAAGGGCATGAGGCAAAGAAGCCAGCCCACTGTGACTCGTGCTCTAGTCACTCTAGTCACGGTGCTTCCCACCTGATTTGGGAGCCCTGGTCCTACACTGCATCCAGCGAGCAGGGACCCAAACGGGAATGGGCCGGCACCGGCCCGATAAAACTTTCCTGGTAAGATCCGAAGCTCGGCTGCACCAAGGAGCCTTTGTAATTCTGCGATTTCTTGGTTGCCGAAACAGAGAAGAGCCCGATAACCTGCGTCAGCACCGAGGGCCACTTGTCGAAAAGCACCTGTGAAGGGGAAGATCCTGTTAGATCATCATGAGCCCTCAACATGCGGGCAGACGAAATTCGCTACATTACATAACCCAAATCCCATGGGGGTGCAGCAGGACCCCGCATAAACGGACACACTCCACTGGAGACTCCAAAAAACAGGCTCCTTACTAGAGGGTCCGCTTAGAGCGGCATCCCCAGTTTTGTTGAGAAGCCCCCCAAATCCCGAGCCTTGTCGAAGTACCAGAAGAGGTTCTCGGCCTCGCCTTTCGACACACCCGCGGACCAAGACCCTCAGCAACTAGCCTTGTGCCATAAGGGCCATACACCATCATAATAGCCTTAACCCGAACCCCTATACACCCGAAAAAGCCCCCATACCTTGGACCCTACCCTAAACCCTTAAAGTCTGCCGCCCGGAGCCGTGGGAGATCTGGACGAGCTGCTGTTCAGCTTCTTGAACTCCGACTCGTTGATGGCTTTGAGGAGGAACCGCTTGTCGTGGGACATCAGAAATGTGGCACGAGACTTTCCACCAGATGTCTGAATCGGATTACCTTTCCATCATGCCGCTCTTTGAAAGTCAAGCCCGAGTCATGTTGGAAAGATCAGGCTCCACACAATCGCTACTCTGATGAAACTGCTGCAGCTAACCTTCGCAGAAGCACCTGTAGAGGGCGCATACTCGTGGGAGCTCAACACCTCGACAAGCCAAGTGGCAGTGCTGCAAGGATCGGACGAAATTGAGATCGTCGCCACAGATCCAATGCCGCAGTGCATGGTAGTGGGGAGCAAAATGAATGGCTACGTGGTACCTTCGCCAAGGCTCTGATGGGCGGCCATGGATCGGGTCTTTGACAGGACAAAGATGCACCAGTTCACAGACTCTGCACTTGAAGCACCCCCAAGATGCTGGCTGGAGATTCTACTGAAACAAAAAACCTCAAATCGCTCGCGGCAGTCCCTCCCCAACTTTCCAAATGGCCGTCCGAGCTTCTTTGCCTGCTTGTCTTCGAAATCTACCTGCCCGGAATACAGGGCCAGTGGGATTTCGAAAAACGTTCGTCCGAGATTCGCCGAGATTGCCTTCACAGGCTCTTTGAGCACGGGAGTGTTGAGGATAGTCCGAAGTCCGGCGTTGTCCATGTCCTGGAACAGGCTTCGTCCGGAAGTGCACGCGCAGAACCTGAAACGGACGCTAGACAAGAAAGGGACGCGAAGATGTCCTGCTCCCAATCATAGCGAATCGCGTTCGGCAAGTCCTGCAGTGAAGCCAAGAGCTCACGATTCAGGTAAGACGATAGAGTTCGCGATGTTCTTTAGCCGCCTTAGCCGTGCTGGATTGTCGAAGCACCGCGTTTTAACTGCAAACACTGAAGGGCGAAGTCTGCCCACTCAAGCCTCCTACTCGCACCAGTCATTGAGGTGTTGCCAACCCGTCCTGAGGCCTCTTCCATTTCTTGTCCTTGAGCACCCCCATGGCCGACTCTGACAGAGTCGGGCGAGCCTGTGGCACAAAACAACCCACGGCACATTGTGTCATCACAAGGGGTCGAACTCCGCTGCCACAACTGGCAAACAGCGTCGGGCTGGGGACTGCTTGCCTTCTCGGCAATGCAGATGACTTACATGACTCACCAGACTCGCAATGAAGGGCTTCAGCTCGACTCCCCCCCGTTCCCCTCTCCGGTCCTCTGGAGCGCTGGTGCGGCCCGAGACAGGCGAGGGCCTCGAAGACACATGCAACTGGCGCATGCCCCACTTGCACACATTCGCATGGCGGTAGCGGCCTACCGCTGGATCCGCTGGGAGTTCTCCGTGGAAGGCAGCTCGGAAAGGAGCGAAAACAGCACTCCTTAGCCGAGGCAACATCTCCTGTCTCGTGCAGCGCAGCTCCAGAGAACCTTCCAAGCGGCCGTGCCAGCATCGGCTAGGGGGCAATGGGATTTGCCCCACAGTGCAGTCCACTGGGAAGACATCTGCTCTGCCGCCTTTGCAAGGATATGGAAGGAGACAGATGCCAATTGCAAACCAAATCCTTTGCTCCTCTCCTTCCTATTTAGGGCCGCTGCCGCTTCATCTCTGTGTCAATTACACTCGACCGTGTGTCCCCTAACAGCCTTCTCACTCAGGAGAGCGTACGCGATGAGCGAGCCGACGTCCTCAAAGTTAACCGACCTCTGATTCTCTGATCTCTGGCACGGAGCAAGCAGCCACCGCGAAACTTCACAAGTCCAGCTCATAAGACACCGCATCCACAACAGCCCACCCGAACGCAGTGGCTGTGGTAGGACGCAATGCCTGCTGCTGTAATTTTTTTACAGAGGTAGGACGCAATGCCCGTCCAAGCATCAAAGAGATGCCATGCACGCAGCGCTGCAGAGTCGTAACCTGGGAGCACCAAGCGCGATCTCTCGAAAGGCACTGACGCAGGCCGAAGCCTTGGCAACCTGCTTTGCAAACTTCTCAAGGCTTCGGTCCACTTTTCCGGATGAGTTGGAGAGGTTGCGTTGTGAACGGTGAGGTGAGTGCCCCGAAAAGGCCCACGTCGATAGTCAGATAGTGCAGGCTCGAGCTGGCTGTTGAAGGCAGTTGAACGGTTCATGATGGCTCAAAAGATCTTCCACGTCATGCCAGGGAGATCTCATTCTCAATGCATGAGATGTCATGTCCATAGTCGATGCAAGACAACCCTCGCAGTGCGGGTGTAGAGGAAAGGCCAACCTCTCTGGCAACTATATACAGATGCCTGCCACTGGCGGGCAAAACTGCTAGACCTGTAACATTCAGATGCCATTTTGCATACAAAGAAGAAATCTTGCAGCATTTCCTGTCAACAGCAGAGGCCCAGACCTGGCTGCTCCGGGTCTCCACAGCAGCAGTAAAAGCTGCAGTGACCTGGTTCCTGAGCATTCCGTGCGCTTTTGCATAACACGGCACAACTGGCAACAGCCATCGCTGCTGTGGAAAGCTAAAACCTTGGCCTAGGCTCAGATGGTTCGGCAAGGCGGAGGGTCCCGTCTCGCTGTCCTGTCCGTGGCTGCCACATCTTTGGACGCTTTGTTCACACTCTGATAGTAGGCAACGCAGCTCCCGGCAGAGAATCGCATCCTTCGGCTCTCACGGGTCTGCCGTTCGGGCCCAGCTCCTGACGCTTCATGCGGCCGCCTGGCGTCTTCTGCCTGGCCTGCAAGGGAATGGAGGGTTGGCAGGCAAAGACCGATCGGATAGGCGACTGCCTCGACGGAGCGGGATCGTCGCAGCGGAATAGATCGCTCCTGAAGTGAGTTCACTCTCAATGCTTGCGGTTTCCTTTTGTCTCAAGTCCTCGTCTTGATGCCCGGTTTTGGCCCGAGACCTGGCATTGTGTGTACTTGTGTGCTGTCCTCGTTCAAGGGCACGAGGGGTCACTTCGTCCACTTTATGCACGGGGACCGGACACTGTGTATGTGTATAGTAAAGTGTCTGTGTGTATGTGTGTATGTGTGTATGTGTGTATGCGTGTGGTGTGGGTGTGTGTGTGTGTGTGTGTGTGCGTGAACTTCCGCAGCACATCGGAAAAAATCACTTTTACATAGGTCTGTTTTTTGCACCAAGGGGCACAGGCCTGTCTTGGATACCTGTGCCAACGAAGCTATACCAAGACCATGATGGGTACCTGCAAAGTGATGAAGAAAGCAAAGAAAAACATGCATCATCGCCGCTGCACATTGATTATCCTCGTTGTTGTTTCTTGAACAATTCGCAGCAGCCGTGGCTTGTGTGAAACAACGAACAACAATCCCACCTCACCCCTCTTCTATTCTTGCCTCTTGTTCTTGCCGCAATCCCACATGTGTGGAACACAGGGTCCCGGAGATCCGCTAACAGCGGCTTTCCGTCGCCGTGGTGGCAGTGCGGGGTAGCTGGCCAGGAGCCAGATATCGGGCTGATTGTTTGGGTTGATGGGTTGACACTCACACGCACCTATTTTATACCGGCTATCCGGAACTAATACGGGCAACGGCATGTGCGGATGGCGACATCTAGTGTAGGAGCAGGCGCGCAGGATTACCTCCACTATTCTGTCGCTATTTGATCGTTCTTCTCTCAAGGAATGCAAATGCATGTAAGTCTGACATGAGTGCAGGTGCAGAAATGTGTGTCGAGAGCATCGCTTCTTCGGAAGCAGCATCTTTCGCTTCTTCCCCACCTCACGCAGAACAACGGTCGAGCCACCCGGTTGATGATGCTCGGCGCTTATATCAGCAACAGCATCCCACAGGTCCAACAACACAGTTAAACAGTACAACTCTAAGCGGTCACGCTTTTCCTCGTTGAACCAAAAGGCGCTGCGTCGTAGCCATGCGTTTCATGGGCTCCAACAAAGGTGTGGGGTAACTATACAATACTATACACATTCCCATCTAC